TTTAAAGAATGAACTAAATTTCGAAGAAAATTTCCTAGAAACCTATATAGGAGCTTTAGTATATAATTTCCCAATATGATAACCAGAGGAGACGCTTATGACTTTTCGTAAATAAGCTTTAATATCAAGGGATTCGTATTTTGAACAATTAAAAGTGAGGAAAAGAGCAGGCAAACTACACTGTCTAATAACAGACTTCAGTTCACTATGTCTACGAAACCAGTATTGGGTTAGTAACATATTACTTAAATTTGCTTCTAAAAATTCATTTGAACTCTCCACCTTATTCAGTGGATCTCCAACACGCATTGGCTGGTGTTTAATGGACTTAAGAAGATTACATATACCTGCTGATTACTCTTACATCTCTTTGGCAATAAAGACAAAATATGTAGTGTGGGTCTTTTCTATAGCGAGAGTCTACATTACGAAGTCTAGATTTTTCATTTTCACTACGACTAATACGTACACTTCTTTCGTGACACTGACCAAATCTACCCTTTGGAAAAGCACAAGGAAACAAAGAACATCTTAATAATTTTGTCTAATATCAAGTGGTACTCCTTCACAGTCAACAGCTTATACTGCTCAACATCGTTTTTGATTTTAAGTTTAACATCAAGTTCTCTAATCGTAAAGGCTTGCAAACCTTGGACATCATTCTCGCTAGCTTTCTCTAATATTGTACTAGTTGTACTGCGACTATCTCTACAATATGTTTAGCAACTTCCTCAACAGAACTATCACCTACATCTTGATATATCCAGTTGATTTCTCGGAGCTTCTGTATTGCTGCTTTCACAAGGTTTACATCAACAAGCTAACGCCAAATAACTTTACCATTGACAATAATATACAGCTTAAAGAGTTTTTCTGACACCGAGACTTAACACTACTGGGATTATTCTTTTCCAATGTATCCAGGGTTTTATTCAATGGCAAAGGAAGATAGATCATGATACATGCTTGAAGATATTTATATATTGGTACCTTTGAAGTGAATGTACCCAATCTAACAATTGTCTGAAAACATTTGGCTCTCTGAATGAGCTTCTTACCAATATTGTCTAAGTTAGACAGTTCCTCTGGTATAGGACCATTCTGTAAATCATTTAACATACATCTTGGTGGCAAGTTATTGGCCTTAATTATTGGTTTACAATAATTACACATAAATAATGTTTGATCACAACTGACTGATGGATAATGCTCTAGTAACAGACTTTCTTTGTCATAACCTTTCATAACTACAGCATGGATATTCGGGGTAGTCGTTTGTTTCCTCTTCAAAGGCCGTTATTACTTCGGCATACTGAATTTATAGCTAAGTTAGGGAGTCCTGGTACTGAATTAGGTAAGACTACGTAAGTACACTTTTCGTCATTTGGCTCAATAAATTTTAGCAATCAGTATCAGTGAGTACCATTAGACTACTAATGTCATCAGTAGACAGGGCACTGTCTATCTTCATGATACATAGGTGACTCATCCTTGCTAAACAAATGTTATTCAGAGGTTTTCTCAGTTTAATCACAGTGTGTAGATACAGCTTTGAGTATTCTAACTTTGCTACAATTTACCATCATTCGAACACACAATAGGATGACCTTTATAATCCATTACATTATACTGTTTATTTAATAAAGGCAACTTCCTTGTTGGCTATCTCAATATAATCATCACTTTTTGGGGTATCCTTATCATCAGTATCATCTTTGAGAATGCAATACTATTTCTCTATAATAATGTCCATCCGGGCAGCCACTATCACATTCATCCAAGTGTTGCCTTAATTCACCAACAGGTTTTTAAGGTAACAATGACATGCACCTCAGCATCTGTGAGAACTTTACACTTAATTGTACATTAACTATTCTTTGGTGTAACTGTAGGTATACATTTCTGGGCATCCTTATTACTTTTCTCTTTGACAATTTCCTTGGCTAATCTACACAAAGTATTGTCATCAATTACAAGGGGAACGTTTTTATTCACAAAATGATAAGCTGTATCATAGAAATTTGGCTCTGAGTGGGCTGCATAACAACAACTACCAAAATCATCCCTTGTCTGAATATCTTGCCCAATTATTAATATAACAGATTAAAACAATGATAAAAAAAATTCTTTACCTTCTGACAGATCCTTGTTGAGTAATATATTTGCTTCAATTCTATAAAAAGCATTCTTTTTGAGGCTCATAGATATATCACTAAATTTTCCATTATATTCTATCGGTATTGACTAGCATTTCTGTCAGTAACATTTTTATTTTTCTAAAATGCTTCCTTTATTTCTGGTTTGGGCTCTGATAATGCATACTTAGATCTAATTGACAGGCGCACTTCAGCTCTCTTTTTTTGTGTAATAGAGTTTAGACTTAGCTCTTATTTTTTCACGATTAGCTGTGTACCTCAGTCACGAAGCTGTTTTTTTTTAATCAGGATTGTTAGCATAGCTATACCGAGAGTATGCTCGAGACAATCCCTTCTTGTGCTCTGACTTTAATCTATAGTTAGTCCAGGATGATCTCTTTTTTTTCTGTTCAGAGTTAACACTATAGTATTTTTTAACTAATGCCTTCTTACGACATGGGTTGATATTAGAACTCACTTTAGATACTGCTTGTGATGCTTCCTTCAGAGGTTCTGGGTTAGCAGCGTATTTAGTTTTAGCATTAATTAAAAGCTGTTATCTTTTCTCTAAATATTTTTTCCTTTTTTATTGCCTTTTTTCTTCATCCTTTGTAGGCCCAGTGTTAGTTTCAACATCACCAGACAACATTAGTGATATGAATATGACAATAACTACAAACTGTAATGTATTTGGGAATAATATCCTGTTACAGTTATTTACAAATCCATAGTTTGTAACATAATTACACAGGTTACATGAAAACGCCCAATGAATGTTCGCCACTGTTCTAATAATATCATGGTATTGTACAAATACTGGCACACACAATTAATTCAGATCCTGCAATACACTATTAACTTAGGTATACTGCCTAACAATTGAATTTAAAGAAAGATGGTATTTCAACTTTCAATGAAATATTAATTTTGTGAGTAGTAATAATCAAGATCTACAATACATTATACAGTAAATTAATGCCTTGTGGATGATGCAGCTCATGAAACTTACAACCTTAATCAAAACACCGCACTGACGCACTGTCAGTACAGACCAATATAAACTTGATCCTCTTTTAATTCCAAAAAAACAGGAAAATTATCTCGGTAATATTAACATGTAAACACAAACAAATTCACAGCAGTAACAACAGTAACGAGCAAACAACACAGATCTCAGCCTCGTGGTAAATACCGTAAAAGTTTTATATCTCGATTACTAGAATTATGGTTAAATCTATAATAATAAAAGGGTGTATTTGTGTGTCTGTTTGTCTGTGTGTGACCGACATAGATCCAAGAGGAAAGAACCTAGGAACTTTAAATTTTGCATCCATACTAAGTGGACCCTGAGGGTGAGCACCTGGGTATTATTTCTTATTCATATGCATGCGCATCTTTTTATGAAACAAGCTAGCGAAAAACCACATAGAAAAGAAGTGGTTCCTTATATAACAACTTCTAATATGTAGAAAAACAAGTGCGTTTTGGTAACAATGCGTTCCAACAATAGCTTTTAGGTCATGTTGCTTAGCAACAAAGTATAACCTAATATTGTTGTTAGTCTATGTACTGAAAGTATAAAATTGATTATATAAACTACAAATTGAAAAAAAACTGTTGATTTCTTAATTTAGTCTCCATTGATTAAATTCAGAAACGATTTAAGTTTCGAACTGGATCGATATATTTATTTGCATGATACATTTTATGCACTTGGCTCTAGGTTAGGTTATCTCACACTATATCTCTACTTTAGGCTTATTTATTAATTTCTTGAAATCATACCAACATTCACTACACTTACAAAGTTTCACTGCAATCCCCTTCACGGCCCCCTTGCACCCCCGTCACTAAAATCATAATGCGCAAACATTAAACGAGCTATTCTATCTGGATAAATGCATTTTGGCTTTTATGATTCCTTATTTCGAGAAGTCAACAGAAATTAAGCGTGACATGACGCGACATACACTGGCTTTTATAAAGATTAGATAACGTGACGTATAATATCATCTAAATAATCCGAGCGAAGTCGGGAACTTTAGAAATACTTTAGAAACTAAACTATCGATTAAGGAAAATATCTGATAAATAAAATAAAGAGGGAGTTAGTTACTTCAGCTTACAAGTAGCTAATAATAACTTTTTCATTAATTTTATTCAGTATAACCAGAACTGAAAGACTAACTTCAAGTAGTTGAGCTTGTCTCGGCATTCCCGTGTTATATTTGAATAAATCTTCAGGAGAAAGGTAGGAAGTTAGAACTTTAATGTAGGGTGTATAGTTCTATTTAATATCAGATAGTTCAATTTAATATCTTATAGCTCTATTTGATATCTTATAGTTCTATTTCATATCTTTTTGTAAGGGTGGAGGTTGGGAGTTTAATTAGTAGAATTATTAGGTTGGCTTTATTTCAATTAATTTCCAGTTTAGGAAATTTAAGGGAAACTGCCTCACACAACTGGCTATAGACAGTGAAAGGCAGTAGAAGCTGAGTAGAAGCTGTGGGTGTAAGCACTCAGCTTCGTACCTTTATTTGATTGATTTTTTCATGACATTCCATGACGGCTGACTAGATTGGCATCGGCGTTTGGATTTTGCCTGATAGATGGGATGTCCCCAATGCATTTGGGTGCTATTACCACAGACATTACCCGTTATGACAATAAGTTGACAACCAGGACTGATAACGGTATTGCGATAATTCTATATATATAACTGTATTATTATACAATTATACAAAATACAATTATATGCAATATAGAAATTATTATAATTTATATTTTCTGTTAAAAATGTAGGGAGTAGCGCTTTGCATAGACGAAAAATGGAGCAACTCTACCTGCAATCGCTATGAATTTTCAAATGTAGCGTCGATCTACTAGTCGCTCCTGGAAACATGGCAGCGCTACGTAAAACTAGCTGAATGTAGCGGCACTAAGTACAGCTCTGCAAGTAAGCTGTTATTAAATTTCAATTAACTTGAAAAAGAGCTGAAGTTCAGATTGACTATGGTACGTTAGTTTGTTTAATTTTAACAATTCTCTGCTATCGCATGTTAATGTTTCTTAAACACTAAAATATTTTGCATTGTAGTTTCTTTTTTAAGACCTCTGGCAGAAAGTTTGAGAAATTAACATTATTTTATTGATTCTCTTGATATATGTATCGGAGAAAGTTTAATAATTCTCTAACAGATACAAAATTTTCTATCTTACCAAAGGATACAATTGTATTTCTAGTTAGACTGGAATATTAAATTAACTACTTTGTTTACCGAGTAACTGGGCCTCCTACATTTATATCCCTATACTTGTAGTTACGATACTGGCCAATTAACACTTGACAGAATAGTGCAACCGCATTTTACTTCAAACAAATTGGATTATATGTCTTCCCCCCTTGTCAACAATTCTTAAGTTTGTCAGGCCCTCCTGGCCCCCTTTTCACTTGGGCCTCTCGCAACGGCGGAAGCTGCGGGAGCATACCTACGCCACTCTAGTAGCCTCTAGTCTATCAAAGGATAAAGTAACTTTTAGCTTATCAAAGGATAGATTAGTGCCTAGATTATCAAGAAATACAATAACATTTTCTGATCACGGGATTTAATATTTCTTGTTTCATCCAAGTTCATCAAAGGATACAATTACATTTAGCTAATCAAGGGCAATATTATCTAGTTAATCAAATGAAACAGCAATTCATAGCAAATAAAAAGGTATAGTATTTCTTAGCTTATTAAGGGGTGCATTATCCCTAGCTAATCAGGGCATGCAGTAACTACTAAGTAATCAAGGGATAAAGTACTCCTTAGCTTAACAAAGAATACAGTAGCCGACAGATAATTAGGGGATGCAGTAACCCTAGCTAATCAGGGATCCAGTAACTCTTAGCATATTAAAGAAAGGACACAATGATTCCTCGATAACCGAGAAACGCAATGACCCATAACTAGAAATTTCGGATTTGTGCACCCTACAAACAAAAATTTACTCGCAAGTAATTTATAATAAGAAAGTCTTGTACAAGTAACAAATTATGGTCTTCCAATGTTTTCATCCTCTACAGTCAAGGTCTCTTTTTTTTCTTTTTTTTTTTTAGATAAACGGTTTTGTCATCCCAAGATGCCTTATTAACCTTCACTATAACAAAAATACAAAATAAAATTTAAACTATGTCTGGCACATCGTTAATAAAGCGTTTATACTCATGATACGTTGATAGAGTAATTTTGTACATCTACATTAAGTAAAAAAAGAGTTTAATACAATAAAACAAAACTCCATGGCTGTAGTTTCAAATACAAAAGGAGATGTATGGTACTGTATAATAAAGTAATTGGTACGATCCTGTTTCATTCAAAATCCTTAGCACTCAAGTTCTCATTAATAGTTTCAGAAGCATTTAATTTGAACCCGAAGGATAATTTATTTCCTTTCTTTGGTTCAAGAGCACATGGATAATAAATTTCCTCTTTAGTTAAAGTTAAAAATTCAAACAATATCATATTTTTTTCTTAATTTTCACGTATGAGTTGAGCTTGAACAAAAAAAAGTTGCTCTAGATAATTAAGCTTTAACCTATTCTTCGATTGTTTATGCTTGATATGTGAAACATACCAGTTTTTTTTTTGTTTTAACTTAGATAAGTAAATATTTCATGTCCTCCAAAAGTGTTCACACTTACCTGCTTAAGTTTTAACATGTAGAAAGACCTGTTTTGGAACGTAGCTAACTTGCTGGTGTTGTACTTTCACATTATCATAGGTCGTTACCCTTTAATATTACTGAACAGTCTCATGGAAGGCGTCATTAGAGAACTGAGTGGCTTAGCATCATGCATATTCCTTAGTGAGATCAACTGTAATGATTGATTGTTCTGAATTTCGCACAAAGCTACACGAGAGCTATCTGCGCTAGCCGTCCCTAATTTAGTAGTGAAAGACTAGAGGGAAAACAGCTAGTCATCACCATCAACCGCCAACTTTTGGGCTACTCTTTTACAAACGAATAGTAGGATTGACTGTCACATTATAACGCCCCCACGGCTGGTAGGGCGAGCATGTTTGGTGGAAATCAACTGTACAAAAGTTTAGTAATTCCTAGCGGCTGTGTCCTTCCTATTTCTACATATGGGATGACCAGGTGGCGTGGATGACTAGTACGGTCTTGGGATTGTTTGTTTTGTTTTGAAGTTTAGTACAAAGCTACACAATGGGCTATCAGTGCTCTGCCCACCACGGCAGACATGCCGTTGTGCCACTGGAAAAACGACCCTATTGTGATCTCTATGTAGTGGTTAACGTTCTCTTATTCTAATTCAGACTCTCGGATAATTCCTTGAGATTCAAATTCGATGACGAGGAACCCACTTTGGGACTAATAATAGCTGGAGACGGCTTGAATGGGTAATGAAGAAAACCTTTAATATAAGTTTAACATAACAGCAAATGTTCAACGTTTCGACAAGGTTTTGTCATCATCAGGTACTTATATTAAAGTTTTTCTTCATTACCCATTCAAGCCATCTCCAGCCATTATTAATTCCTTGAGATCTTTTGACTTAGTGCTCTCAACAACTTGGGAGTAGTGCTCTGTAGGTTGTCATGTGCACTTGTCAGCTTTGACTTGTTTGGTAAGGTAAATAAAAATTAATTTTCACTTTGTTTTATATTATGCCCAGTTTCTTTTCTTCAATTGAACCCAGTCATAAATTTAGTTTTAATTCCGCATAACATGTTTTTCCATTTCTTCTATTGCGGTTACTATTCTTACTTGTAAGTTAATTAATCAGTACCTTTGAGAATACTACATGATTAGTTGTCTGTGATTTCTTTAAGAAAAAAAATAAATTTTAGGTCATATTTATAACTGGTAGCTGGCAGTAAAAATCCTCGTAAATGTCTAGGTTTAAGTAGAGCAAAAAACATATTTTCTCAGATTCATATAATGCATTTAAGTATTAATATGTGTTTGTATCCTTTCTTATAGTGTGTTACAAGACAAGGTGTCCAGATTTAAAAATGGGTTACAGATTTACAAGCTACCTGCTTCTCTGGTTTCTATTCCACAACTATAAAAATGAACTGAACGCTAAAGAGAACAAAATAGGTAAGATTAATAAACATAAATCAAAAAGTAAATAATATTGATAGTGTTTTTTGTATTTTCAACTTTTTTTAGTATTTGCTTTTGTCAATTTCTGCAGAGAATAACAAACTATGTTTTAAGCATGATATATATTTCTTTTCGGTACCTTCCGCTATATGATCAATTACAATCAAACAAAGCACGACTCGCAATCTGAGGGTCACGGGTTC